TGTCACTCGCTCCTCCCTCCCTCTTCTCATCACTCATCCTTGCACGAGCACTGGGGCTTGCCTGCTCCTGCCCAGAAAACTAGCATGGCATAGAAATGATGTTTTTTATTGCTCTGCGTAAGACCATCACCAGTGCTGAAATTAGGGAAAATTCAGTGGCAAAGAGAAATTAGATAGGCTTGCCTATACTGTCAAATCTCACATGCTTAGCAGTAACAAACTATAGAGATTTAGGAAGTTTCCTACAGGCTAGACCTTTGTTTCACCGCTCCAAGGGCCAAGAGGCTCTGACCCACAGGTCAGAGCTGCACCTTTTACTACTCTACTTTTACTCACACTCAGCATTTTAAATGCATATTAGCACATAATTGTTCAACTACACTGAAAGATACTGAGGCATACTGGAGTAGTAACTGCTCTTGCTGTGTGAAGCAATACAGACATAGTCTTAATATGAAGGCAGTACATATAGTCAACCACACCTTACTCCAGCTGATTTCAGGGTTTTTACTCAGAATGTTGATTTAGTATTTTTCCCCCCAACAGATTTCGCGAAAGCAGAAATACATCTCTAAGAGTACATTCCCAAGTATGTCTGACATTGCTTCAATTACCATTTTTGTTGCACTCTGGTTGTCCACTATGACTTTAGTAATGGGCTGAACCAGAAGACCCGTATTTGGAGAAGAGTTTGTGTTAAGTAAAACCACCATAGGAAGGAACCAGAGTCTACATGTATGTGCAAGTGTGCAACAGTGCAAAAATGCAGCATTTCTTAGAGAAGTTTCTAACAGAAAACATGCATTTGAACAAGGACACCAGGTTAAAGAGAAGCCTGGTGAAGCAAGTCAAGAGGTTACAATAGGATGAGCTCGATCACACCCAGGAAAATGAAAGCCATTATTAAAGAGGTTGATCTTTATCCTGAAGGACTACCTATAAAGGATGCATCATTTTGTATGAGATCAGAAGGTAAGCCATAAAAAAGACATCAAAGAAATTAGACAAAAGCATCATTAAAGAAATATACATAGGACGTACCATAGAAGAGAACTACTAGGTCATTTTAGCTGCTTCCCATGACAACAGTACATGATTTCCCCATTCACACTGTACACTAGTCAGAGTATTAATCTAATCTTCCCTTAAAATTGTTCAAATACATGGACATTCCATGGTTTTAAAATAGTTCTGGAATAGTATCTAAAAGCAATCAGCTACTAGGTCTTTGTTTTTAACCTAGAAAAGCCCTTGTAAGGCAATCCTGTGCAATTCCTCACACAAGTAAGGAATCTGACAAGTTACATAGCAAATAATATTTTCTCCATCTCTATATTTCAAAAGCCCAAGCTGCAAAGGGGGAAAAAAAAAAAAAAAAAAAAAAAAGTCAGTCTCAGAGCCCAGGCCACTGCCTGCAAACGTAATACTTAACTAGAAAAACAAAAAAACCCTGGCAAACAGATTAAAGCAGTATGGTCTATGGGACTGTAATAGAGAAAAATCAGAGAGGAAGCATAGATTAAAGGGGCTGGTTGTGTGCAATGATATCCAGCAGTGATAGAGGCTGTTGTACATGAGGGAGAGACAGACTGAAAGATGTAAATGTTGAAAATAAAATAAATCAAACATCTTTTATTTTCTATTTTTTTTGGTTTTCACACTCACACATCTTATCCAAAAGTATTTTCTATATTGTCTGTTGTAGTTTCACTGTTGTAGAAACCTAAGACATGAGTAATCAGATGGCAGAAATTACTGTTATTTACGCACTGCTGTCACAGCTCTCCATAATTATACAGGCTGACACAGCATCTTGACAATGATAGGAAAAAAGCAGTTTTTGTAGAAATTTTGTCAGCCTCCCTACACAGAAGCACGGCAAATAAAATTACTGCAGCTAAAAATTGGCAAAGCAATCACCTTTCAGGGTTGGTTGTTTTTTGTTTTTTTTTGTCTCTGTCAAAAAGTTACTATTGTAAGAATACTCAAAGACACAAAAAAAAGCCCTCTATGTCTAAACTGTAGCTTTATCCTACAGTAGGGCCACAATCTGGCTATGCACAAATGCCTTGTGTTGTTTAAAACTGAAAACAATTAAGGAAAAAATGAGTTGCAAGGGGAGTGGGACAGGAAGAAGGAAAGTTTATGTGCAAAACACTGAAAATGTCCTGTATTGAAATAAAAAATTGGAAACTCTCAGGTTCAAATCCATAGTCTGAACCACTTAACAGTCAACTCTAACCCATGCTGTCCATGCCCCAGGCAACCTAAACACCAGAGTAGGAGAGGGAAGACTGATTACTGATTGAACTCTTGTATGCACAGAATTGCCATGTTTTGATAAAGTACTTTTGGTTGGCAAATTTCTCAATCGCTTTAACCCAAGAGTCACCACTTGATGCAGACACTGCATGCCGGACAGGTTACACCTCTAGATCTGCCCCTACTCTCCCATGCACCACCTGGGACGAGAAGCGCCATGGAGCACCCACATCGAATCTCCCACCTCGTCCCGTGGAGGCCCTGCCTCCGCTCCCTCTTCCTTTTGGCCACCAAGGTCACATACGACCCATGAAATTGAAGCAGTTGCACATTTTTCGTTCACACCTTTAGTTTCCCGCTGGGATGTGCAAAGCTCCTATCCAGGCACAACACAAGGAGAGCAGATCTTCTTGCGCTTGCTTATCCTTCTGCTGCTCCTCCCTGCTGTCATCTGCATACTGGACTTTACTGCTTTAAATATTGTGGTTAAAATCTCCTAAAACTGTTCTGCTGCCACAAGTGGTATAGCCAAGATAGATACTCCAGGGTTCTCCATTTAAAAGGCACAAATGAATGAGTACTTTCTTCTGTATTTTCAAACAACTTCACCAAACTTGTCATCATAAAAAGCCTTTGCCTACAAATGGCCCTTACTAAAGTCTGGAGGTGGTGAAGCGAAGCAAGGAATACTATCATTAGTCTTAAAAACACAGCCTCAGACGTTCATTGCTTTTGTTGAATATAACCAATTTTGACTTGAAATACGGAGCTGTGCATCCCGAATTCATAGGATGATGAAGTCTTATCTAACATTACTCAAACTTTTAAGAAGTATCAGACTTGATGTGTGGCACATAAGTGAATGTAATTCCTCTGTACGTGATCCGAAATGTGGATATAGAGACAATATAGTATGTATGCATATAGCCACTGTATAGTATGTAAAATTGTTTTCATGCGTGTTTCATATGATAATGCATTCACACACACACCACATACTGTAATTATTAGCTAGAGACTTTATTAGATAACCATGGTCTGTTTCATTTCTCAGCTTTTAAAACTTAAAATAGAAGAACACCCCCACTGTGATGAAAGGTAACACAGCATGCTGATTAAAGAGAAAAAAACCCGCACGAACAACAGAAAAACCCCACAGGTATATTGCCCCAACAACGAGACTGACATTTGATAAAATCCCAAACCGTGAAAATACATGCAAAAATTCTGCACCTCCAAATTTCTGGGACACCAGCTGCAAGCTCAGCCCCTGCTTTCAGTAATACCCCAGATCCAGCTGCGCAATTGCAGTTACTGTTTTCGAACAGGTCCACACTTTGCTCCTGCAATACGAATGGCACAAAGGCTGCTTTACCCCCTACACACCATATCATTAGAAAATTAGCCATACCCTACTGTCACTACACTCAGTGAGTGGCTTTCCCTCTAACATAAGATCTATGTTTCCTATAAAGAAGGAAACTTAGACCCATTATCACTTACTCCTCGGGCTGATATAACTCACTGAATTTAGGCTGATGTTGGCTTTCCCCCCACATTCTCCCTTCATCCCTTTTAAATGGAGAATGTGTGTAGGTCCTCCAATATAAGACAGCATTTTCCAGAGGTCTTAGGTTTGCAAATGTTAAGGTTATTACAACCCTTATTTGGGTCTGAATCTTTTAACTCACCTTTTATTTTCTAATGTATCACCTGACCAAGAAAAATTAAAACTCTTATTTTCACTGCGAACCTGTTTTGAAAGTTGAAATAAATTAATACTGTTTTGATGTTTAACCCATATTATTTCAAACTCAAGGCAGCTGGGCTTCAAGTATGCTACAAAGCCCAATATCACTTGTAATACAACACTGACCATCCTTTAAGATTTCAGAAATACTCCTGGCTCTGTGGGTTACATGAGTTTGAAATGTGTAAAAACCTAAAAAATGGAAAACAGTAACATGCCAATTCCTATGTGACTCACAATAAATTTGAGAATGACATAGATTTATTTCTTGACTCTTGCAGTTTCTTAAATGCCGCTTCTCCAGATATTTTTACTTGAAGGGATACCAAGCTGTGAGTACGTCACTGCTGCTGTATGGACATGTGCTGTACAAACAGCTAATTCAAGGCATAAAAATGAACTTTTTAATAAAAAGTGATTCTCTTTTGAAATAACTTCCAAAGTGAATCATTTCCTTGATTTTCAACTGGATGGTAATTGGAAAAATGTGGAGGAGGGAAAGTAAGACAGTGCCCCTTTTCACTATGCTACCATTGATACACAACCTTGTATGAAGTATAACCTTTGAAAAAAACCATAGAGGATAAAGACATAAAGGGCAGAGAAAGAGGAAGTTGGACACTTAAAAAAACTAATACCACCACTATTACAACTGGACTATTAATTCCAGTTATAATAATGCATGACTGGACACCAAATTCTGTCCTGTGCTGACCAGACACGTACAGGATGCAATAGTATATCTGCTATATGCTTTCTGGAGGCTATATGAGCAGTCATGGAAAATCAATTTGAATACAAATGTAATTTGTTAAAAGAACAGTGAAAATCATTATGCAGGGTCACACTGTCAGCAGTTTGCACAGAAGCAGATGCCGTCCGAAGATGCAAAGGCATTCTGTAAAACAGAAGAATCTCAGTCTTTAAAAGTCTCTGTGATCTTTCCAGTCTTTCAGTATAGTTACATGAGAACAAAGCTACAGTTTACCTCTCTTGATTCTCAGCACTTTTACTCCTTGCAGCTCATTCCAGCTGCAGAAAGAGGCTTTATAGAAACTTCTAAGCCTCAGAGAGAGTGAAGGTTCCCACTGTAACGGAGAAAAAGCAACATCTTTGAAACAGTTCCTTGAAAGTTCCAAAATATTTATCTCAGGCTGACAGGACACAGTCATGAAACAAAGAACTAGATTTGCCTGGTTCTGGCAATGTCAATATCGCTTTTAGGCAAACCATACATAAAAATTCAGCATCAAGCTAACTGAAAACGCATGATACAATTTAACGACCAGCTTCACAATGAAGACAGCTGAAATGGTAAATCTTCAGAAGATCCTGTTGCAAAGACATTTAACACATAGACATGGAATATACCGATTTGCTATGCACTTAGAGTGCTGTTACCATAGCTGATTGATCAGCTTACCCTATTCCATGAGGTAAATCTGGAGACTAAAACAGCCACCAGTTTTAAATTACGTTTTCCTTTAATTGGATCCCAATCTTCACTGACTGTTCTGAAAGGTACTGGCTTATTTGTTCCTAGAAAAATACACAGTGGCACTCAGGAACCTGTATTACTATAGATGAGATGCACTGTATTTCTTCCACCTGAAATAATCTCTTACAGTCTCTGTAGTCACTCTTTCAGTTACTGTCTGTCCACTACACTGTAGAACATCAGATTGGCTTATGTTCAAATTTGACCACGGAACAGCAACAACAGCAAATGTAAAACCTTACAGCTGTTTTGAAATATGTATAAAAGGACATTCCTTATTAAAAATGCACCTGCATCTTTCTTGCAAACTAAGGGGTAGAAGTCACTGCACCCTTGAAGCCTACTTTCATCATATACAGGCATATAAATGCATCTCTGAAGGCAGACTCCTGTTACAGTGCATGAGATTGCAAATTTATCATACTGGCCAAAGAAGAAAATTGCAGTCTTCCATTGGGATGACTTTTTCCATCATCATCATCAACATCATCATCATCATCATTATCACCTCTCAATCTTTCTCCTCCTTCTCTCTCCCTTTAAAAAAAAAAACAGAAAAAAAAACTTGCTGATATACTTACTATGTATGTGTTCCAAACACAAAAAGCAAAAGAGGTTTTTAAGATACCACGAATAAACAGGATTTTGACCTCCATCATTACTTTTCACAGCTCCAATAAAAAAGCAGTTGGTATTTTTCTTTGTAGACTTGAAACACGGGTCAGTAATGAACTACATGACTTAACTTTGATCTGCAGGTGGAATTTACCCCAAAAGAAGACAGGGAAGAACTGGCCACTGCAGAGATGACACTACCATGGGTTTTCATTGTACACATTATGCAAATGGACTCATCAGCAAGTAATGTTCAAACAAAGCACAAAAAGTTTTGTAGTGTTCAAAACCTGCTCTCTAAAGAGTTTCAGTTACTTACAGTGCTTACAGTCATCATAACTTTGAGAGGATCTATTAAAAGTAAACGTTATGACAGTGAGCAAAATTAACCCAGTATATCAGACGCGTCAAGCAACGTTTTAGTCTGTTTCAGCATAAAAAAAGACTGTATAATTTTCTTCTGTCTCATTTTGAAAGCCAAGGACAAACCTTTCACTGAACAATTACAGCTTAAGCAATCACAGAGCAAATGGATCTTTTTTCCTTCCTATTTCACTTCTCTTAGAAAAACTAAGAAGTTATCTCTGTTCTGAAGTTACCTAAAAGCATGGCAAGACCGTAGACTTAGATGAAAATATGTCTCAGATGCGAACTATGAGAAGTCCTACAGAAGCCCCATGCAAAGTATTTATGACAAGTCCAGACTTTGTGGCAGACGCAGTATCTTTTGCTTAAAAGACTTTGGGCATAAACTGCAGGTACAAGGACATATTGCATAAGCTATCACATGCTCGCTGCAACTGCGTGAATGTTACTGGATTCGGAGAAGCCACTGTGCTGAATAATTTAAGATCCAATAAAATATTCAATTTTACTGATACACTGGTTTCATTTTAAAATAAAAAAAGTGAATAATGACGGGAACAGGTCTAAAAGTCAACGGAAATACTGTGTTACTCATTAGGATAACAGTTGTTCTACTAAGCTTCGGGGAAGATAACAACTGGGGCGATAATAAAAAGGTCTCCAACCCCGAGACATTCCCCCCACGCCGGATGCATCACACGGAGGGACAGACACAGCCCCGGCAAAGGAGCATGTCTGGGGCTGGCGGAGGGCGAAAAGGCTGTGCCGGGCGGGGACGGACGGACGGACAGGGGGAAGCCCCCACGCAGGACGGCGGCCTCCCACGGAGGGTTTCGTGCTGTGGGTCGAGGTGGCGGTGCGGAGGGGACCCACGGCGGTCCCTGCGCCCCGGGGGGCTGAGCTCTTTCCCCGGGGGCGCTGCGCCCGCCTC